ACTATCTTTGGTATTTTTGTTTTTAGCCATTCTGACTGGTGTAAAATGGTATCTCAGAGTTGTTTTGATTTGCATTCCCCTGATGGTTAAAAATGTTGAACATTTCCTTAAGTGTCTTTTGGCTGTTTAAGATTCTTCTGTTGAGAATTCTCTGTTTAGTTCTGTACCCCACTTTTCAATTGGGTTATTTTAAATTTTGATGTCTAATTTCTTATGTTCTTTATTTATTTTGGAGATCAGTCCTTTGTCTGATGTGGGGTTGCTGAAGGTCTTTTCCAATTCAGTATGCTGCCTTTTTGTCTTATTGACTGTGTCCCTTACTTTACATAATCTTCTCAGGTTCAAGAGATCCCATTTATTTGTAAGGCATACTCATCTACTTGTAACACATAATTTCACTGTAGTTATTGAATAATTGAAGAAGTTTCCCACACCAACTTTTGAAGTTATTGTAAGCAAGCCCACAAATGCTTTATTCCACCTAGCACATTGCTTGGAATATTAAAAAACACCTGAAGAAAAAAACCCAAAATTTAAACTTAAATTTGATGACTAGCTTAGTCATAGCAAGGATATCAATGCTCTGTTATAGTGACTGTAGAGAGGGAGCATGGTACAGAATGAGGCCTCTGTGATTTGCTCCCTCTTAGAACTCTAGGATCAACCAGGAAGCTAAATACCCATATGCCTCTGTGATCATCTCTTTTATTTTTCCTTTCAAATTTTAAAACATGAAATAAAGTAAACTAATTAATGAAACTATTTTAAAGAAATGTATTTTTTTAAATGAGCTCACAAATCTATAGATAAATGTAATTTAGAGCTTGAATAAAATATGACTTAACAATAAATTTAATCCTTTGTCTTTACTTTTAATAATATGAATGTTAAAAATCTTCATGTACATCTAAATTTATATTGAAACAAACCAAAAATCCACATAATATCTAAAATATTTATGACTTTGCTTTCAGAATTGTTTATTTTGTGACTATTTGGAAAACAGGACAACTTTATCCATCTTTCCATCTAACTATCATTACGTCTACTGCTTTCTCACAATTGAATCTTTTATAATAAGCTCAGAAATGGAAATAGATTTATTGTAAAATTTAACACTATTGTATGTTCTCTTATGTTATTCATATACTTTCTTTGATTATATTTAACCTTATTTTTGGAGTTGATGCTCATTTAAAAGAAATATCACCCATGTTAGCTAATGAACAAAACTATTTTTGTGTTGAAAAGTATTGTTGAAATTAATTTTTTGTTTTTGCAAAAATTACACACATATGTAATTTAACTTTATTTTTAGTTATAAAATTTTAATTTAAAATTTGAGAGAAATGAGAAAACAATAAATTTTGTAACTCATGAACATTTTTAGTTATTTTCTGATGATAAATGTAAGATGCTGTAAGTTAGAAAATGGGCATGATGGTGCATATCTTACTCTCAGCATCTGGGAAGCTGAGGCAGGGAGGTTTCTATGACTTTCAAGCCAGCCAGGGCTACAAAGTGAGATTCTGTCTCGATACACACACACACACATACATACACACATTGCAGGAGTTTCTGTAACATATATGAAATATCAAACTTCAATATCTTACTTTAGGAAATAATTATACATGTCTGAGTAGAAAAACAAACAGTTAAAATATTTTTGTTAATTACATGATAAATTTGCATACAGTTTATTTATATAGCTGACAACATATAATTTTATTTGTTTTGACTAGGGGAAAAAAACTCATAAGTAATTAAAATAGGATATATAACACTATAGTTACACATTCATCTTTATACATAATGTTGCTTCCACATATAATATATAATTATTTTGTCATTATTCCAAAGACAACAAGAATAATGTTGTTTTATATTAATTGAAAGGTGGTATTCTTCATAATTAGATCAAGTATTTCATAATAAATTTTAATGAGGTAGGTTTTATTTCATTTTGAACAGATCTGTAGGAATCTAAGAACTAATCTATAGGAATTAAAGGAATGTGACCTTCATAGATTTACTTAATATATACCTTCCATTTGTTTGTTTTTCTTCCCTCCCCTTCTTGTTCAATACATATTTTAAAGTTGGGTTGTACATAAAAACTTCCCATTTTCCTGGGATATGATTCATGTCACTAAACTTCCCTGCTTTAGTTGTTTCAAAGTGCATATATTTTATATTTTTCTAAAAATGAATATTAAAAATAAGTGAAAAATAAAATTTTTGAAATTCAAATTTCGAAGAGTCATTTTTAAGCATCAGAGTTTTCAGCTAAACAAGAAAAAAAACTAAATGAAAAATCATTGCTTCTATCACATGACTACTAGGTCACAGACTCCAGAACATCAAATTATGTAAGAACCAAGCTCTCATGTACCCAATAGACACATTACAGAGAGCTAGAGGCTCTCAACTTTAATGTTTTCTGGTTGATGTTCTTGAAAATTGGAAATACACCAAAAGATAGCTCTATAACTTGCAAAACTGATCTACATGATATTTTAAATATTATTATATTTTCAGGCAGACAAGTTTTAATAAAGCATATGCATGGTACTTATTTCGCTTAAACTCTCTACAATTGCCTGCTCTGAGAAAGCAAGGTGATGTGAACAAATCCACAGTATACTCTTCTGTATAAGATGACTGTTCAGCAAAATGGTAATAGACAACCAATGGACACAAAATGTAACTTTAGGTAATATTTGACTTACATAGGTAATTCTTTTGGAGAACTACATAATAAAAATAATTTTCTCATGAATTAGTAGCTTGAATGCTCATTATGTAATGTTTGTAAAACAGCAAGATATTTTAAAATTGGAAAGTTGAAAATAAATATGTATCAAGCACAAAAAGACACTAGGAGCTACATGACATGCCCTAAGGTATGTTTATACATAACAACACAAGCCATGGAATAGCATCCAAAAGTTCCATCCATTTTAATGACCTGCTTAATAATCAATTTCTGTAACCTTCAGATTAGCTGACTGGACCATTATTCCACATCAAATTAGAATTGCAAGATTCACCAATAAACGACACGGTGATAGACTTCTTTTTCCTTTGTTAAGAACATAAATATAAGGGCAAATAGAAATACACTTTTAAGTAATTTAAATAAGATGTTTTAGGAAGACAGAAGGAAGTCAAAGAAAATACACCATGGTCTGAGTTAAGTAAAATAATGACTAAACAGTGACTATATATGAATTGGAAAGTGTGTTAATGCAGAGTCATTAGACGGGTACAAATCAATTGGTTCATGTCAGGTGATTATCATTCTAGGCTACCAAAAAACGACTTCTGAATTTAAAGTCAATTATCTTTCTTCTTTTGAATATGGGATACTTCAAAATATTAGATTATCTTGACTAATGACTTTACTGACATTTGGAAAGATATTCTTTACAATTACAATATCCTTTACAATTACTGGGTAGATCGTTGCTGATTTGGGGAATCAAGGCACTGATGGAAGGAAAAATATTTAAACAACTTTGTCGCTCTTTCCTGTATGCTGATAATTTCTCAAAAGTTAATTTTTAAAGTAATCACAATGGGAATGTCAAATCAGAAAGAAGAGAAATTTTATTAAAAATAAATATTATTGTATATGGGTAGAATATGACTTTATGATACATTTGATAATTCAATTTATAAGTAAGGAACAAAATTCCACTTGATTTTCTCTGTCTACATACAGTTAAAATAGATACGTGCATTTCTTATCATTCCCTTATAGTTCATTAGGCTGAAATTTGACTATGGCCTAGTAAACAGCTATTAAATATCAGCTTTGGAAAGACCCTCTTTATGTCCTCACAAAGCTTACAAATCAATCTAGAATTTCAAAGTCTGAACTTGACAATTTTGACTTGAATTTTGAAATTCTCCTCCAAATTTTGAGGTCAGAATATTTCCTTTCTCCTCATAGCACTTCAAAATCAAATTTGTTTCGGGATGGCTTTGCCTCACTGGAACCTCAGTTCCTTTTGCCGTGGTGGAAGTCAAAGATTCTGATTTTCCTCCACGTAGCATGGTGTTGAGCACCTGCTCTGCCGGCTCATTCACACCTAAGTCTGGATTAGACATATTGATTACATTCAATGACCCTGTTGAATACATGGTGGACTTTGGAGAGTAAATTACACTGGCTAGATAACTCAATGGTATTTGAATAGATATGTGCATTGGCAACCTAACAACCGCAGTAGAATCAAGCAGTGACTAGATTTTACTCACACCAAGGGTACTCAGGTTGGTAACCTCGGTTTTCACCACCATTTCCAGAGATGTTTCCTATGATTGGTTGGGAAAGTCCTTGTTCCTGTGAGGCACTTGTTCCAAAGATGTACCACTTTTCCTTAAAGCATGCTGCTCCCAACTAGTTCAGTCATAGAAACCCTAGTTTTCCATACAAGGAAATGACATATCATTTCCACACAACCCCAGCAAGTTCTTCCCTTGGGAATGAACAATGTGTACATTTACTGATATGACTTTGCCCCCAAGATCATATGTTGCACACTCTGATGGCTAGTTTATACTATTGTCATTACCTGAGATACAAAACATTGACAGTAAAATAAGAAAAACAAAGAGCATAAATGTTTAAACTCAGCAAAGCTGATTATAATAAAAGTAAATATGGGCACCATCTATTTCTAGACCATTTTCACCACTACAAAATTCTCTGTCATTGGATAAATCTCAACCTACACTGATCTGTATACAGACAAACGTAGACAAACACACTGACAAAACCCTCCACTAAAAATGCAACTCAAAAATATTTGAATGAGCTCACTAGGAGTTCAGCCACTCTTACTACTATGAGCTTTACACACTCTTGGTGTTAGGCAAACCTGCATATAAGAAACATGTTAAGTAACAATACAAGTGAGGAGCATCTATGTCATGCTAGAAATCAATATTATATATAAAAAGAAAGATGTGGAAAAATGAACAAAACTAACCTTTTCTTTTTAAGGGAGGTTCTTCTATTTCTCCTAAATAAAGAACAACAGAAAATTAGCACAGCTGGTAGCAGGGATTTGCTATTTACCCATGTTTTTCTATTTACACATTTTTGCAAACTATTGCTGTCAATAGTCAGGATTCTTACATACTTTGCTACCTAAATTCCAAAGTACATGCTTTGTTTATATATGTATTCAGTTAAGATGGCTTCACTTTATGAGTTCAATGAAATTGCAGCAGTGCTTCAAGTTACTGCATTATAGCTCATGCATCATATTAATTTCAATTTTCTCTGTTTATTGTCACTTCTTACAGGGACAAAGCAGAAATAAAGTCAAAGTCATAAAAGGGGTTCTAATAGCAATAATTTTCCTGTTGTGTAAGACTGAATGGATAATCTTGGATGAGTAGGAGTAACTATTTTTTTGAATGTCATTTAATGGACTGGATCAATGTACTTCCTCTTTGTAAATCCTCTAAATGCCAACTTATATACAGCCTGCTCTTCTATTTGCTTTGTTCATTGTATGTGTGTTGCTTACTTGTATAATATTTAAAATGTATCTTTCCATTCTGGATCTCCATTTGAGTCAATCAATTTCTGGTTTTATTGGGCTTTTATTAAGATTGGTTATCATCATTTGAATATTACTGTGACTTATAAGTACAAAACATGGGATTGTTGGTTTTAATATTTTTGTTTCAATCCTCCTAGACATCGGCTGGAAAAATAGCTACTCTGTCTCAAGTAAACTTGTAAGCGGGAAATCTATTGTGGTTTTATAGTCATTTATATTAAGATTCCATGCTATAATGCCACTCTAATAGCAGCATTTAATTTTGATATCTTTTCCATAATGGCAGATAAACTATAAGATTAAAGCCAAATGGAGAGCAATTTACTCTATTTGGCAGCTTATTGGAGTGCTTTTTGTACTCAGATGTGTATCCATTTTAGTTTAGCCTACTCTAGTTCTCATTTGGGCTAAGCCCTCAGCTAGCCAATGCCAAGCATGCCCAATTTCCAGTCATAGCTGTTAGATACAACTCTGTGCCTTGGGTACCTTTATCAATGTCCTCATCTGCATCCTCATCTTCTTCATCACCTTCAGATGAGATGATGTCAGACAGCAAAGCAAAGAAGCCGTAGATCCAGTCAGTCGTTTCCTCCACAACATCATTTACGAATTTTAGAGGATCTGAACCAATCTTGGCAATGGAGCTTGCTAAAAGACATGAAAACAAAGGAAAAACATAGATCATTAACTAGAGAACCTAGGAAAAGATGTTTTTCATAAATGTCTCTAGGCTACTTTATTGTTCAGAAATGAAAAACATATTCTGATGTAGTCCATTAACAAAATAGTATATAATGCGTATTACATAAGACATATATGTATTATGCATACAAACATACACATGTATATTTGACAAATACATGTAATACATATTTGATATATATCAAAGGTAAGTGATATAATACATTAGGTTTGAAGCATTACAGAAATACCAAAAGATTATTTTAGCAATGACTATAAGCTAAATGAAATCATGGGGTGAAAACAAATTGGAATAAATAATGCGTTTTCACTACACAAGTATTAAAATCATTAAGTTACAGTTGCTCAGGAAGGTTGAAATAGCCATTGATCCACAGAACACTCACTGCATCATGGAGAAGATGAGCATGTGAATCATCAAACAAGGCCTAGAAATTTGACTAGACTCATTATGGGTGATTTAAGATGATTTTTCTTTCTATCTCTATTTCTCTTTCTCTCATATATTAGCTTTATAATTTGTTAAACTATTAGAAAAAGCCATGGCATTATCAAGTTTGCGATTTTTTCAAATTAAGCAAAGTTTGTTAAATTTAAATATTTTGAAATTCTAGTACCTTATAAAACCTTAAACATAAAATCTTTAAACTTAATCTCCTAGTAATTTCAATAACTGAATTAGACAAAACCGAAACCTATTGTAGTGAGGAGCTGTGGGCAGGCCTGCTTTTTTGTCCTGCCCTGCTCCTGCACGGTTAGCTTAGCCCAGGAAAGATTCAGCATGTTTGACCTGGTGGCTGGCTCCATGGTGTCTCTCTCATTGCCCTCTTCCCAGCATTCTGTTCTGTTTACTCCGCCTACCTAGTTTTCTGTCCTATCAAAGGGCCAAGGCAGTCTCTTTATTAACCAATGAAAATAACACATAGACAGAAAGCCCACCTACATCAACCTATAAAACATACTATTATTGTATCTTGGAAGTTTTTTTAAACTTATAAAATGAGAGCTTAAATAAGTAAAAATATAAACACTGGGATTTATAAAAGTTGTTCTGATTATATGAAAATTTCTCTGAAGTTGGAAAAGTAGTTTCTAATACCTGCTAGAGCGATTATGTAGAAAAACAGCATAAATTGCACCTGGGCTTTCATTGATATGCAATTAAATTTTAGAGTTATTTTTCTGAATTTTAAAAACTATTTTGGTTTTCAAACAATCTTCTCCCTTTGATATGTCTAAGAGATCAGAAATAAACGAACCTAAAGGTTAAGTGTTCCAAAATCAGGCTTTCTCTCTGATTAAGATAAGAAGTCACTGGGAGGTTTGAGTAGATTCAGTACTGAGGGTGAAAATGATCTCAGGCTACAAACAGGCAGACAGTGAAAGGCCAAATAAAATCAGTTAGATGGTGGGTGGTCATGGTGAATTGAAGACGAAGAGAAGTGCGTGTAACATGCCAGCAGCTTCTGATGTGCTTCAGTGGTACACCTCAGGGCACATATGGAAATGCTTCTACTTTGGTCCTAGCATGTGAGGGAGAAAGAACCCCAGGATTTAAAAAAGAAACTGATTGAACAAATGGAGACATAGAATGGAAAGTGGAATTCTAGATGTTAAAACAAGTATGCATCTTGCTTATGTAACTTGACAATTTTTTGTGAGTGACACTGGAGATGTAGCAGTGGTATCCACTTGTGATGGGGAGGCGTGGAGGCAAATACCATCAGCTTCTTTTGTTTGGTCTGGGTTGTGGGGAGAATGAAGGGGAGACGTGGTTGTGATTTAGACTTCTCACACACCTGCCGTGATGCTTAGGTGCAGCTACTTCTATCTGATCTATAAAGAAAATGTGCTACTTGAATTAGGAACTTGAAAGCACCAAAGGATGAAAGGTATTGACGTCACGATGTTCAGTGAGACCGCTAAGCAAGACTGTAGTATCTAGAAAGCTGGGGGATACATTAGAAATGGGGAGTAGGGAAGCAATCGGATCTAATATGGGGCGAGAGGAAGGACTGGGGAGCATAAAGGGCTAAAAATCGAGTAAAGAAACCATTTGAGGAAAATAGAGTTTACAAGTGACAAATGATGCTGATAGGGCAAGACAAAAAAGAAAAAGAAGAAAGATAGGCAAACCACATGACTGTCCTCAGAGGCTCTTTACACTCAACAGTAGTGTGTGTTCAGATCATGAGGGGAATTTGGAGTCAGTGCATATTCTTTATTACCAGTGATGAAGAAGAAGAGGCAAAGGAGAATTGAAATCTTAGCTTTCTTTTGTTTTCAGTACTATTGAAGTGGGAAAGATACACTTTACAGATACCGCTGAGAGTGGGGAATTCCTCAGGGAACATTTAAGCTCATGTTTTCTTAACAACAGTGGTTCCCACCCAGTGCGCCATGACCAGTTTGGCTGTTGAATGACCCTTTCACAGGGGTCACATATCATATATACTGCATATCAGATATTTACATTACAATTCATATCATTTGCAAAATTACAATTATAAAGTAGCAATGAAAATAATATTAGGTTGGGGGTCACCACAACATGAGGAACTGTGTTAGAGGGTCACAGCATTAAGAATGTTGAGAATCACTGCTTTGGGTAATGGTGATTACAAAGGCTACACAGTAACTCTAGATTTAGAAAAAAATCAAGACGCAGGAACACTATCTGAATTATTCATTGTTGCTGTACCTCTAATTTTTCTACTTTATTTTTGTTCCATTCATGTGTAGCACTACTAGGTCACCTGAAAAGAATCGCAAGGAAGTTGAGGCTAAAAGGAAAGAAATAATTGCAAGTGAAAATTTTATAATTGCAATTAAGAGATTGAAAAGATGACATGCATGGAATCTATGCCCTGGCTGTATTAAATATACTTTAGCACTGATATCTTCCCTCTAGTTGAAGACTACAATGAGATTTTTCACTTTGGAATAGATAGAGACTATTTCCTCACCCTCCTTAGGTCTAATTGTTAATTTAGAAAATTAACAATGAAATCTAAGAAAGTTGATATCAGTTTGATTGTCCTTGGGATTAAACACACTAGAGGCATTTAACACTTCTAAAGGTAGAATGCAATCAGGTCAGGCTATTTTCATGATGGTAACATTGCTGCCTTGAGGCTTAACTTTCTATTTTCAATGAAATAGCTTATTTTAAAATTTAACACATATATTTAAGATACTCAATAAAACTGACAGTTTACAGATACCATATCCAAACCATATTATTATAATAATATTAGACAAAGCAATTAAAACTCTTATTGGTAGCCTTTTAAAAGAGATAATCTTAATCCAAGTGGCATGAGTTCCAATTGGCCATCTCTTGTCACCAAAGTTCCCAATACCAGATGGGGCTACATACAATTGAGTTATGGAGCATAGAATTCTCAAGGAAATCCCCAAGAACCCACATGGTTGGCAAAACAATAGGTTGCTCTTAATAAACTGACAGCAAGGTCCCATTGCTGAAGACAACACCTATACAACTTATTGAACATGGAGAGGTTGAGCTGGTGCCTACACAGAACCTTCACCCTCATGTTCTAGTTCTTTGCCCATTACCAAGGAAGAAACATAAGCATTAACCCAGCCACCAAATCTATGATGTACAACACTGCCCTGCCTGAAAAATACATTAGGGCAGTGATGGCACAAAGCCTGTGGGAGTAACAGCCCACTACAGGAGATGGAGCCCATATCTAACACGGCTTGGGTTACCAGGAACCTGAGACTAGATAGCCTAGGGACCCAGTTAAATCAAATATCACTGTTCTTTTAAAATAAAAAGAAAGAAAAGCAATGATAAGATGATTCTTAATGACAACATTTTATACTTATAGATCAGAAACTTATATAGCCATCAGTAGAGAAGCTTCCTTCCACAGTATGTAGGAACAAATACACAGACCCACAGCCAAACATAACACAGAGAGTGAGAGATCTTAGAACACACAGCTCTCAATCGAATGTCTCCATCAAATCCTTGCCTTTGAGCCCAGGGAACCCCATGGAAGAGAAGGTAGAAAGAGTTTAAGAGCCAGAGGGGATGGAGGACACGAGGAGGACAAAACTCGCTAAAGCAACCAAGCAAAGCTGATATAAACTCACAAAGACAGAAGCAGCAAGCCCAGTGCCTACACGGGTCTGCACCAGGGCCTCTGCATACACACGTTCTCACTTTCAGTTTGGTGTTTCTGTAGGAACTCCTGAGTATGTGAATACACGAGTCTCTGATTCTTGGACCTTCTCTTGGGCTCTTTTCCATCCTTTGGTTTGCCTTTTCCAAATTGAATGTGATGCTTTTTGTATTATCTTATTATAAGTTTATTTTGTTATGTTTTGTTGGTATCTCTTAGAAAATTGCTCTTTTCTTATGAGAGGCATAAAAGATGTTGATCTGAATGGGAGGGAAGGTGATGAGATTCTGGCAGTAGTAGAGGGAGGGGAAACAGTAATCAGGATATGTTGTATGAGAAAAGAATCTTTTTAATAAATGGAAAAAATAAATTTCATTATGAATACCATCAGAGAAAGAGAGAGAGAGAGAGAGAGAGAGAGAGAGAGAGAGAGAGAGAGAGAGTCCTATAACTTAACTTTCAGTTCTCTGTGAGTCAAATTTCAAACTTAACAATAAGGATTGTCAAAAAATAATGGTGATTCAAAAGTCATTCTACTCAATCTACCGGTATTAACGCACTATTTTTCTCTTGATAACCCAATGAGGAGCATACAATATTTTATTTCTTTTTTTTACGTACTGGAAAACTGAAGCTGAGAAAGTTTACCTTGATAAGAATTGATGGAAACAAGCTTTGTCCCCATGCCATGCTTAAACCTCCTGTATAAGGCCTAACTTATATGCTATGTGATATCAAACAAAGAAAAACATGAATTCATAATCAGTTTTATACTATGATTTTGGATGTTCA